CTACTATCTAATGACAGAAATTGATTGTCAACATCATTACCTGACATTCATATAGAGTATGTATAATATGAATAAAATAAGGTATGTATAGATTATTTATTTATTTATATCATAATAGAATTTTTGCTTTTTGAAGATGTTACCTTTTATTTATTATAATCATTATAATGATTTAGAATGACTATTACAATTGTATTAGTCACTTCATTCGAAAAGAATGTATTATGAGTACTTGTGTATATCGATTTTTTGATACGAGTATGTTAAGCTAGATCATTATACTCTCAAGCTGAACTATCTAGAGCCCTAGAACAAACAGCTGGATATATATGACAGGATATTGTGATAAGAAAGAGGGAGGAAGGGAAAGAAAGAAAGTATAATAGCTATTTCAAGAGAAGAGGAAAAAGAAGGGAAAATGATGGAAGAAGTTATATTTGAATACAAAATACTTTCTTTCTTATGTGGTATAGTAGTATTAGTTGACATTTTGATTTAGATCAGAACACAGAATATTTCCTATCTATATCTTTGATGTCATATGCCTTTTCTATTTTAAGATAAATACTATTAACTTTAGTCAGGTTTACACTATTTGGTAAGCTATTATTGTATAGAATATAAACATTTTCCTATCATCAAGAAGTTTTTTTATCCATATTCTTGATTATGATTTATTGTTGCTGATGATAGTAGTTTCTGTTTTTTTGTTTACATGAATAATAAGATAAGAGTTTGTGTGATTCTCAAAAGTTGACGAGAGAAATAGATTAACTTTGATTGAAAACTCAATAGCACTTTGTCTAATAAGTATTTTACATAGATTTACCTTGATTAATATGTAGTTCTTTTAATATACTATAGTATATTATCTAGTTTTTTTTTCTTCTGTCTATATGTTGTTAATTCTCTTAATAGTCATTCGATCGATACACGCAACTACTGATGAGATTTGCCAGTTGTTATTACTAATACTAATGTTCCTCGCTTGTGAATGGATCATACAATCCATTATATGCTTCAATGAACAATATTTCCGAAAAAAAAAGCAAATGAATATCTCGGTTCGAGTGGAAGTAAGCCATAACATTGATTATATGCAGAACATCTGTTGATTGAGATGAAATGGGCAGGAAAACGTGAGATTTAGGCTTTTCTCGCTTTTTTTTTTGTAAACTAACAATCATGAATGTGGAAAAAAAATCATCTATCTGTACTAATTGCGTATTTTGTTTTTTTGATTTTTACACTCAATAATTACTTATGTCAATACATAATCAGACCTTTGAATATAGTTTTATTTGAAAAACAAAAGAAAATACTATCATCAAATAATTTATTTTCTTTTCTATTGATAGATTGAGTAGAAGGAAAAAGAAAAAAAGAAATTTATAGTAAATTGTTTTTATTTATAATTCGGTATTTATGAAGTATTGAACGAGGTGTTTCTTTTTTACTTTTATTTTTGATTTGTCTTCGATGACAAATCAAAAAGAAATAAATTCATTCTTATCATGAACAATTCAACTTATTGGTAGTATTATTATTCTATTTATTGTCTGTCATTAGTTAACATTCGTCTTTTTTCTTTTTTTTTTTATTCTCGATTACTACTCTCCATTTGATTTCTTTTTATTCAATAGATTCTCTTTTAGACACTTACAATATAGAATAATGTCCTAGACTTCTGTTTGTTTCAGCCTCCGAGAAGAACAACGAAGGCTTTTGTTCGGTTGCGACCGAACAAAAACACGACCGTTCGCCTTTTTCTCCTCACTATGTTCATTGCAATCGTTTCATGCTTGTACCAAACAGTAAGAATGCGCACTCATCACTATACTTCATGATAAAGATGAGGATGACAACGAAAACAATTAATTTTGTTAATGTTCCGCATTTCTAATCACATTAGTAAGCGACAACAAGTAAGAGACAACTTTATGCTTTCTCCGCCTTCTTCTTTTAGTTTTCTTCTCTTTTTTCTGGTGGGAAAAGAAAGACTTGTATTTATTCAATGTTAGGACCATCAAAACATTAGCATTAGCAACTGTTGTCAGTGTATGGTATATATAACAACATCGATGATACAAAAACAATATCTATACATATATATATGTAAATATATCATTGTTCAAAATATGTGAGTAATGTTCTGTTAGGAATGAGAAGCAAATTAAGTCGCGATACCATATTCACTATGCAGCTATCTTGTAATTTCATATCCGGTAATAAAAAGAAAAAAAAATGAGACCATATGTCCTTGAACAGGTTATTATTAACACTCGATACATGAGAATTATTTGTTAAGATAAAAAAATAAAAAAGAAAATCTACTTTCTTTATTTTTTGAACAATAATAAAATGTCAAGATAAAAATAAGATATCATCCAAATTTACATAATTGAATAATAGATAAATTAGATTAAAAGAATAGTTGTTTTTTTTTTTGAGAAGAAAATATTCATTTCCGAATGAATTATTTAAAAAAATCTTGTCATTTTCATTATTTATTTAATCATAAAAATAATGGAAAACAAGTACTTTTTTTAATGGAAAACACGATTATAAGTGTTAAAATATGCGTTTTAAACACATTTTTTTATTATCATTCATTGGTACATTAGAGAAATCATATTAGAGATCGAATAATACGTTTCATTCTGAAGCTATCATTGATCATAGAAAATATCGAAAAGACAAAATTCAAACTTTAAGTTTCTTTTTTTTCAGAAATAAATCGCATAGATTTTTAAAAAGCTGTTAGTACAATTATTGTGAAATTAAAATGTAAAACACGAATGAAGCTGCTGGTATTATAAAAGAACGGATTAGTCAATATCTATTTCGTTTTATTAATTCCGACCTACCGTTAATGCATGTCGATAATGAAAGATATTAATTGCAATATAATGCAATGGATATGAAAGAAAATTAAAACACAGCTGTCACACTAATTCCTACAGTGGACTTTGATCTCGCGTTTGTGCCTGTCACTTCTATGTTGAGTAGTTAATAAGATGTCTGTCACGTCTATAAGCTGTGTCTGACTATTTACACCTACACTACAACATTCGTTTTAGATTTTGTTTTACAAAATGAATATATAGAGAAGTGTAGTATTTTTTGAAGATGTTACATTGTTTATTGTAGATAGATCAAATTTTGTATTTTGTTTAGAAAGAAAAAAAAAAGAAATATAGTTAAGCTTATATTGTTGAACTTCTTATTCTTATATGATTGATAGTTTCGAAACGAAATGAGAATAATTTTTAATTAACTTGACAGATATATAGAACATATTATTTATTTTAATAAATGAAATGCTTTATCATACTAATTGAACTCCTATATATGTCGTATTAGATTATGAGAAATTAATAATGATATTATTTATTACGAATTTACATCATTTATTGTGTAAATATAGAAAAAAAAATTTCATTTTATCACCAATGATTTATTCTAATCAAATTTATTTCCCTTTTTTTTTGCTGTTGAATTATGAATGATTGATTAAAAAGAAAAACGAGAAATTCAAAAGAATAATATTAATAAATATCTTTCTTTACTTATTGAACTATTGGAAATTGTTTGTTCATATTTTCAAAAAAAAAAAACAAACAATTTTATATTTCATTATTATTATTTTTATTCGATTCTTCTAGATATAAAAAAAAAAGAAATGGCAAGATCATCATTTTATTATTTGTTTTTTGATAGATCTAATCAGATAGATTTTCTATTTCAGTAATACTACAAAGTGAGTATACATATCATAGACAAATATTATTTAAGCATATCACGATTCTATTATTTAATAAGGAAAATTTATGCAATATTTGATGTATTAGTAAAATACACAGATGCATATATAGTTGTATATTCAAAAGTAAAATGAGAAAAGTTTTCTTTTTTTTTAAATATTCGAGTGAAGACTTCATACATGATTTTAACTTTCCTATTAGGAATATATAGAATTGAAATATTCTATAAATTTAATTTAACTTGAAATGAATGTCATCTATTTCTCATAGAATTTTTTATTGTTATGTAACGAAATATTTATTTTTCAAAATATAATTCACTGTTAGAGAATATTTGAAAGATATTATCGATTAAGTAGAAGTATGATATTTATTAATATGCATTCCTTTCATTAGATACGAAGCCATATTTTTGAAAAAAGTGATATTTTCTTCATTGGATTAATCGTTATCGAAAGAAATATTCTATAGATGATATCTGTAATTTGATCAAATTCTTGTTTTGTTTTTTTGAGAAGTTTGTAGAGAATTGATTTGTTTTCTTACTTGGAAGCTCAAATAGAATGCTTTATAAAAACGATTTTTTTTTTTTGTTTGGAAAGTAGAGATCATTCAGTGGATCATGTAACACAGTATCTATTTTTTATTCTATCGGTTTACATTAATATTAATGAGAGTTTGTGTAGAGTATTGAATGCTGTATCTTTTGATAAGAAAATAGAAAAATCATGTATTCATTTGTTGCTCGAATACTTGAAAAACTTTTGTTAGATTCGATAATCGTAATTATCAGATATTGTTTAATTTCATAATTTTGCTTATGAGTAGATGTTGATGATATTAGGAGAAAGTATAAAAGAATTATGATTTTACTAGATTGATATATTATTCTTTACATTATTCTAATACAATAAATAGAATGAATGACAAATTTAGATTATCTATGTGATCAATGATGACTTAAATAATAATGAAAATATGCGCTCACAATTCTTTGAACACAAAGCAACATCATGTACCCGAATCGTCTGTAACTATTCTCTTGTCTTATAGATGATATATGATGTCAGGCAACATTCGACGGTTGAGCATAATTTTTCTTTTCCTGATGAACGTCGATAGTGAGTTCCGTCATATTTGTAACTTGAGTAGAAGTATTCAATAATATTATCGTGTTTTTTTTTTCTTATTCTTTATAGATATGTAATATTCTAATTCGATCATATCTTATTCTCCATGAATGATCATGTAATATCATCGACAGCTTTATCTGTCGAACATAATTTAACTTTCACATTATTCAATAATCCAACAATTTACTCGACAGAACCAATAAATAATTGTAGTGTTACATTACAATATAAATTTGTTGAACACATTTTTTATCTTTATTTTATGTCACCATTATGTCTTATTGGTCTTATATTAAATGTAATTAATTTAATTATTTTTTCTGATCGTTCATTTAAAAATTTAACATTTAAATATTTACGTCTTATTGCATTTGTTGATTGTATAACATGTACACTTGTATTTATTTATTGTATTACAAATTATACTCGACCACGTACATTAAATGATAAATATTTTCGTATATGGTATTTAGTTAATGTCTATTTTCCATTAGCTAATATAACGGCTGCATGTAATGTTTTATTAACATTAACTGTCACGATTGAAAGACTTGTTAGTGTACGTTGGCCAATGTCAAAACAACATTTATTTAGTTCAAATCGTGTATTATTAACATTAATTATATGTTTTTTATTTCCAATAATTGCTAATTCAGTTAATTTTCTTGTATATAAAGTTGGTGAATGTAATAATCTTGATGTAACAATAATAGCAACAACAAAAGCTTATAAATATTTTGGTATATGTAAAGAAATTTTATTACGTTTTATTCCAATATGTATACTTATATGTTCAAATTGTCTTTTATTAGCAACTGTACATGCAGCTAATAGAAAATTTAAACCAAAAAAAAATAATATTAAAGAAATTTCAACTGAAATACCAGCACCAATATCTCTTCAACCATTATCAAATGGTTGTGATAAAAAATCAATGAGTACATATACATCTGATACTCAAACACAAACTGATACACGTTCACCTATTTTAATTGATCCAACAATAAATGGAGATGATAAAAAATCATCTTCACCAGTAACATCAAAAAATAAAATGCATATTAGAAAACAACAACAAGAAAAACAATTAACTATAATGCTTGTTTGGATATCAACACTTTATTTATGTGGACAAATTCCAATGTTATTTGCTTATCCAAATTTTATTTTTAAAGATACAAGTAAATCTTCATATAAATATTATGCATTAGTTGTTAATTTACTTGAATTGATAACATATTTAGCAAACTTTTTTATTTATATTAAATTTACAACACAATTTCGACAAGTTTTTCGTACAAAAATAAAACAAATGTTCTGTTTCTTTAAAAACTCATAATTGCAAAAAAGACAACTTTATATTGATATAATTTTTTTTTTGTTCTAATGTATCTCTCTCTCTCTCTCTTTCTCTCTTGCTGCCTTTTTTTCTTCTTTTGTTCTTTCTCTATATATTTTTCTTCAATTTGTTATAGTGTGTTATTTAAAAGACAGGAAATATAACATATATTTTAAACAAAATTAAGATTTCATTTGAAAGGAAAAACGAAATAGTTCGATTTGATAGAAAGATCTATATATTTTATGAACATTGAGATTATTTCCGTCTTCTTTTTGACTGTTTCTGTTTCTCAAAAATGGTACAACCGATCGAATTGATTTTTTTTCATAGATAGAACACTAAAAGTGAGAAAATATTTGTTCGAGGAAAAATAATTTGAAATGGAATTTTGTAGTTTTTTTTTTCTAAGAAATCCTAGTTGCTTACGACTCCCATCAAATTTTATCTGATTGGACTGAAAATCTTTTTGGAGATACCTCAGACTAACTATATCTTACAAGTAGTTTTAAGTTTTTCTAAAAGTTTCACTTTCTTTTTTGTATACGTAAATGTTCGGTGCGAAAACCGGAGTCTTAACTTTCAGGATCCTGTAAATTCGAGTAGAAAAGTCAAATACAAAAACGGCTGACTTTACCTCTAGAGAATACTTCCAAGTATCAGTAGTAAACATTTCAGCTCGATTGAACAAAATTAGATGGAGGTCATAAACAACGAGGATTTCCTAGAAAAAAACCGCAAAAATTCACTTAAAATTGTTTTCCTCGAACATGTGTCTCCCTCTTTCTATTGTTTTGTGAAACATTGATCTAAAAGGAAAATTGAAGTATGTAAGGTAGAAATTGAGAATGACTCTCCCATCATACACCGTGACGGGCACCATGGCAATTCACTCCTTGAGGGTACGCATAACAACTATATCGTATGTTATATTTTAATCCTACAAGAATTATGCTAACAGATTTTTATTTATTTATTCAAATTTTATGAAGTGTTGTCAAACAAAGTTAACTTCATCAGGCTATACCATGATATACATTCATATTAAAGAATCTCGCACGATAAGATGGAAAACCTATCACCTCCTGAAAGCTCATGTTGTTCTGCATCTAGGAATGTAGTGGGTTTAGCTTTTATCAATGGTAGGGAGCCGATATGGCTCATCGGCTTGTGTATCTGGGGTAAATGCATAGTTAAGGTTTAGGATGAACGAATTTTTTCTATTCATACATATTTTTGACATTGAGTACTGTAGTTTGATGTGCCGTTCTTCACTATACAAAACGCATATGAATACTTGGTAAATTTTCTTTCGCCACTGAGAATGTGGTAGAATCAACATTACTG